CCGATACTATTAATATTTTATTGCCAATAACCTAATTGAAATTTTCAGACTGTTAAACCATCACTACCCAAAAATGAGGCAAGCATACAAAAAGGATGTTGCGTCTGTATAAACAATTTTTGGCTATAAAAATAGGCATCCAGAAATACCACGAACCCGAGATGAGCCCAGCAGTCACTGTGGTCATGATTATCGCTGTCATCACTGCTGTCATCGTCAGTCATACAGTCCTGGGTTGCCGTCACCACACCACAACATCGCTTCGAAGTGGTAGTCATGCCACATTTTTTATTTAGCCAAATCCTTTATAGTTATTACTCTATTAAACTACATAAACATTTCTCTATTGGGATCAAAATATTTACCCTTATATCCTTCATGTGTTTACACACAATTTAAAACATTGTTGATTAACACAAAGCTTTGCTCACAATTCCTAATACTATTCTCCAAGGCACAAGACTCAGTGATGAGGATTTCTTCCCCCATGAGACCAAGAATATTATAAAAGTGCTAATCTGATCCTCCAGCTCACAAAGGTCTTCTGATTTCAGAAGATAAGATGAAGGTGTTTTAGGGCAAAGAAAGTTGAACAATTCAGAAATGCTTTTATTTTTCAAAAATATATATATAGTCCACCAACTCACCGGCCAAGTTTAAAATATAAAAAAAAGCCACCCCATAACTTTGATGAACTGCCTTCTTTCTGTGAAATCTCTTATGCTTTCACTTTGGTTAGTGGGTTCGTGAGTGGCTATGTATTGTGGATTTATGCAGCAGCCTTGCCAGCGATACACATTTGGGTTCTAAATAAGTCTAGGCACTGTACGTTTTCTTTCTCAGGTAATCAAAGCATTAAACTAAAAGCCTAACCCGCTCCTCTCCATTCAACCTCCTAGAAAAGAGCGCACGCAGTATGCTGTTCTCTCAACTGGGATCTTCTAAAGTTACACTAAAAATAATATTGAAATCACCAGGAGGTGTGAGATGTATTAATTTTGTATGGCGCATGGAGTGGAGAGAAATATAATATATAATAAACATATTAAGATTCATATATATTGTTTTATGCAAAATCGTTTTCACATAATCCATCAGGCTTCTGACATTCTAAAAATGCATCTATAGATGTTCTTTACAACAACCTGGGTTGCAAAAAAATGTTGTACATGGTGATGAAGATGTTAACAAAATTCAGCTTTCAGAGAAAAAGATTTACATCAGTCTGTATTTACAACCTAAGTTTCAGCAGCTTATGTCTGCTTTTTCTACCTGTTTTTTAGCTCACACGAGCACCAAAATAAATACTGATACATGGGTAAGTAATAAAAAATCTATTGTTTGTATAGCTCACCTACCACTTTCACATATCCAATCTTATGTGATAAAATTACTATTTTCTTATTATTAATAGGAAGTTTAACATCTTTCATAGTTTTTGCGGCAATTGCTGATGCCAAGTGCAATTTCTTGTCCCTGTTTTTTACATCCTTAAATGTACAGGAAACCAAAATCACTAACCTGACTTTCCTCAAATTATGTGTCATAGCTTAAATATATTCACAAAAGTAAAGAACAAATAATTACAGCCAAGGATCCAAATTAACAGTGTGAGAGAGATTAGAATAAGTGGCAATTATCCCTCAGAGGCTTTCCACCAAACAGGCACAAGCCACATGGAGAAGGTGAAAATGGACTGCAGACTAGAGATGTAATTCGGTTTTTATCCGAGATCCACTCATTCCCTGGGCAGTCTGTGGCTCTTCGGACTATTCAGCGCAGTGTCAGATAATCAGTCACAATTTAAATGGGTGAAAAAAAAAGTTAGAACAGAAAGCAAAGGGGCTTTAACATCATTCAAGTACAAGGAAAGAATTACTGGAAACTTGAACGTGAGCCACTCACATCTCTGCCTGGAAATGAACCTCTGTTCGAAGTTGAGAAATAGCTCTAAATGATCACCATGGATAAGCTAGTCCAGCAAAATATGCAGATAGCCAGCCTACAAATTACCAGGGCGTTGACTTTGATCTAGACGGCCTACATCCTTGTTTGTTGAGGTTTTTCTGAGGAGTAGTCAATGTTCAGCCTTTAGAAATACTGAGTGAAGTCAGCATGCAGCACTAAATAGTTATTTTGAACTTCTAGTATTTGTCCATATAACTGTTTTGACTTTAGTTTAATTCAGACCTCCAGATTGAACCCTAGAAAGGAACCCAGGATAAAATAACTCGCAGGTGCCTCCATAATGAAGTTTGAGTTAAGAGAATTCTTGCAAAATCACAGCTCGCCTACCACCAAATTGGTTATTTCTTGGTAACAATTTGTCCGGCTACGTGGCAATCTTTCCTATAGTATCATATGCCCTAAACAATTTACCTGATAATTTTTTCATATAAAAATGTGGCTGCGTGTTGTAGTCAAAGGAAGAAAATAACTATAGCATCTTAGTACTACCAAATGGGAACTTTGCACAATTCTCTGAGTACCACAGTGGGACATTCATGTGGAAACTCCTGTGCATTAGGACCCGTCTACAATCGGAAAATTCAAAATTCAGAAATAGCACAGCTTTGTGCAACGGACCTAAAGCCACAAGCATAAGGCATGGGGGAAAAATACAAGTGATCAAATTAGCTTTTTGCTTTGTGTAGAGAAACCCTCAGCCACTTGCCTGAGTTCTGTGTTTTCTGCTGAACACAAAATCTTAGATTCGTATCTGTCAAACTTTTTGACCTCGACGCACATCAAGAAATGCACCTTACGCCACAATCAACACAAGCACACAGAATGAAAAGAAATTTTCAGGAAAGAAAACTTACCCTTACTAATATCATACACTCATATATTTCTATTTTTTATGCTTTGTTCCTTTTTTCAAAAGAAGTGTTCTGAAGTCACTAAACTTACTTCTTCTAGGTCATTATAAGCAGCGAAAACATCACTTCGAGCCCCACTACTTTTTAGAACTACTTAAGAAAAATAAAGATGCTTAAAAGAACCTAATCAATTGTTATGTTTTTTATGCAGAGTTGCTCAAGTAGGAAACTAAGAAGAAAAATATTAAATAACACTTGCTCATTTGAAATACATGCATAGATGAATCCCTTCCTCCCTCTTAAAAAAAGGCCAAATTCAAACCAAAGAGCAGGATGTTATAGGAAGTAAAGTAGACAGGAAAAAAAAAAATCATTCTAAAACCAAATTTCCACTCAGAATTGCACTTATGCTAGTTCTTTTATTTTAGTTTCTAAAATTCAGTCATTTTTTATTATTCTAAAAGTATTTGAATATCATTTAATGCAAAAGTTTAAGATGGGGCATATAGTGATATTATTCGCTGCTGGGAAGATGAACAATTTTGAATAAAATGTGATCCTTTCCTTATTTGACCATGCTCACTTTGTAATTATTACCACGGCAGTAAATAATCTTTCAAGGAGCAGTCTCATTAGTGTCCATTGAAATTCAGAGGCATTAATTTGCAATAAAAGAACTGAAAATTAAATGGAAAAGAAAATGGTTTCAGGAGTCCAACGTAAGGTTATGGGACTCACATCCTACCCGTGCCTCCTTTCGTATCAAATTTTAAATGTTCAAATCAGACTTAATCGCTATAATTTGTTCTTCTAGTTGAAAAAAAATGAGCTGAAGAAATTGTTTTTCTCCATCCAGATCAACCCTGAATTAAAACAAGGGACATTAATTTGAATATGCCAACTTTGTAAAGTTTTGTTCTTTGTTTATCACTTAAGTAATAACTCAGGCGGGACCTGCAGGCTGTGGGATGCTCTAGGGCCCCTAAAGGGGGCTGAAGGTGCGCATTTGAATACCCCAAGTGTCTCCCTCTCAGGATCCTGAGGCCACCCCGCACTGCAGTCCTTTTTCTCCTGCTATAAATATCTCTGGAAATACAACATTGAGCAGAAAACGGCCCCCAGCTCCCAGGTGCATTAGATCTGGGCGAAGGCAGGCGGCCACTCCAGACGCTAGTGCCAGTGCACAGCTGCGAAGCGCCTAGTTAGCACCTATGTGGGCACTGGGATCCCAGCCCTGCTACTCTACCGCAGGCGCCGCCGGGACAGCGGTGTTGATCACAAAGGACCACCTAAGCCCCCTGCAGGCCCAGCAGGAGACCGGGGAACAATCAGAGGAAAGGAGAAGAAAGAGGGAGGCCTCCATCTCAACTACAAAGACTGAGAAGAGGACACAAGACGATGGCCATTAAGTCATGAGGGTTCCCTGTGTCCTGCACTGCCCGCCCTTCTTCCAGAGTCTGCAGCCAGAGACCCAGCTGACCCTCGAAGCTCCACATGAATTGTGCGGCTCCTAGGCCCGAGATGGGACTGAGCGGGCGGGAGATGCCTTCGACGCACTGGTGCTTCGATATGGCACGCTTTAAACTCAAGGGATACCTACACATTTCCAGCCTTTGAAGTCACATAGGTCAACAGGGACAATCAGGAATCAAAACGCTGTGGGGACGCATTTAACTCCTGTATGGCTCTCCACGCAGCTGCCCCTTAAGGTGGGACAGGGAGGAAAGGGTGGCGGGCCTCAGGAGCCGCTTGCCCGCCGCCCCCAGTATCATCACCATAGCATAGTTCCAATCCAAAACTCTCGATGAAAGGAAAATGTCCCCCCGCATATTAAAACAAAAGTATTACAATAATAATAAATAAAACTCTTCTGAACTCGCTCTAACCCCAGCTGCCTCTGGATTAAACAGCGAAGCGAGGCCCTCCTATAACTCAAAGCGCCTCTGCCTTTCCTCCTTCTCGCTTCGGGGTGTTTCCCCCCACGAATAGCTGGGGCGCCGCACGCTTGTTTTCCGACGCTGGTTTAGCGCGGCGGCACCGGCTCCGGTCCGCCTCTCGCACCCGCGGGAGGGGTGGGGAGCCTGCCTTCGGGCTGCCAATGGCGAGGACGCGGGCCGCGCGAACAGCCTGCCCGCTCCCTCCCGCCCCTGCGCCCTTCGCGGCCGCCCCGCGGGCCGGTACCTGTAGAAGGCCGGGGCTCCGGCCTCGCGCACCGCGTAGCCGCTCGGCTCGTTCTCCAGGTAGAAGGGCACCTGCTGGCCGTGCGGGTGCAGGAAGGGCGACAGCTGCGGCGGCGGGTGCAGCAGCATCAGCGGGCTGGGGGACACGCTGTTGAGCTGCGGGAAGCCCCCCAGGCCGCTGGGCCCGAAAGCCGCGGCCGTCTCGGACCCGGGGCCGTAGGCCAGGCCCGGCTGGCCGTAGACCGGCGCGGAGGCGGCGGCCGCGGCGTTGAACTCGTAGGCGGCGCCCTCAGGGTAGTTGAAGACGGCCGGCTTGCCGCCGCCGTCCAGGAACACCTCGCCCTGCGGCTCCTCCAGGGGCATCTTGAGCTGCGGGCGGCTGAGGGGCTCCAGCTCGCTCGCCTGGATCTGGTGCAGCAGGGCCATGCCGGAGGCTTTGGTGTGGAGGGTCATGGTCATGGTCAGCGGCGGGCGGCGAGGCGCAACCCGTCCCAGCGCGCGGCGGAGGGCTCAGCAGCCCGCGGGCCACCTGGAAAAAGAGCACAGCCGCGGTGAGAGGCGGCGCGGCGAGTCCCCCCCGCGACCGCGACCGCGACCGCCACGCGAGCTCCGGCTCTGGCCCCGGCCCTGCCCCGGGCCGAGCGAGAGGACTGTCTGTCTGTCTGGTGGAGCCCGGTGGCCAAACTCCAACAAGTGCCGCCCTGGCGCGGTGCGCTCCGCCAACTCCAGGGCTTCGGGTCTCCAACTTTAAGTACCGGTCTCCTCGGCTCATATGCATCACAAAGGTGCTGGAAACCGGCCAGGGACTGTTGCTTTGCACGGACATTGGTTCAGACATCACTCCTGTCACCCCTGGTTTTGGAGAGATCCCAAAGAGCCGCTTCCCTGAACTTAACTTTGTCGCTGCGGGATGGAAGCTGAATTTCACGGCAGGGGGGCGGGGGCGCACGAGGATCGCCCCGAGGCGGCGGCCGGGGGAAACCGGCTTCTCAGCACACGCGGAAGACCGAGCCAGGAGCCGGCTCTTTCTAGTGTACTGCCACCTGTGCCCATGCCAGGCTTCAACCTATCTCTGTTTCTCTCTCTCTCTCTCTCTCTCTCTCTCTCTCTCTCTCTCTCTCTCTCTGCTTGATTCACTCTCCCCGTTGTCTAAAATATGTACTGTGTACATAGGATGACCCTGAGGAGGCCTAGTCCGTAACTGAGATACGACAGATAGAGTGGGGCGTGCGGTTGCACATGCAGCCTGCCACAGACCGCTATATTTAGCAGCTGCAGGAACTGATAGGACGCATCTGGGGGAAAAGAGTGGCAAAGCAAGATGCCCACATAAGAAGAGATTCATTTTGCAACCAGGAGAATGCTGCCGGACTTTGATTTCCTCATCTGCAAAAAGCTGCCAAAGTGGTCCCCTCCAGTCATAGCCTTCTGAGATTCTCCCAGCCTGACTTTGCTGTTTACATTGGACCACAGTTCGGGACTTGCTCCTTTAGAAATTCTCGTGAATGATGATTCAGAAAAACCTTTAGTTAGGCGCACATGGGTGTTCATGCCTTCCACAGGTTATGCAAGGAAAACTTTAGAGAAATGAGGATGAAATGCAACATATTTTATGCCTAACCTCAGGTCTTTAACCAAAACTTGGGAAATTACGTTCCGCTGTCTAACCAGGAAATTTTTCAAATTCATTTCCGCAGTCCTGCTCTCTAGTTCTATATACTTGGACCTTCTAGGTGCACTTGAGGGAGGTTGTGCAGAATCAAATAACCAAGCGAAAAAGAAATAGAAAAAAGTTTTGAACTCAAACAATTTAATCAAAGCCAGTAGTGATTTTAATTAATGAGACAAAAGGGTTGTTAAGTACATCATATCACAAGTCTTGTAGTTTATCTTTTTTAATAAACTTCCTTTGCTCCAGCCTAAAAGCCTCTCAGCAGCCACTGATACCTTAATCGCTATCCCAAACACCCCAAAGATTACCTGACCAAATGTTTATGGCATACATTAATGAGAAGGTTGCAGCTACTAACATGAATATTTTAAAATACTTAATGGTAAGTACATGTTTTATCTAATTCTTTTTTAAAAAAACAGATCACTTCTGGGTGATATGCAGATGGGCTGATTTAATATAAAGCCAAAATTGAGTTTCGCATCAATAAGTATAGATCAGAGGCAAAGAAAGGGTTAAAAACACATTGGATGAATCGCAGCTATCCCTCTTTACAGCCAGCAGCCCTTACTTTCCAGAACAATATTTTTACAGATGATTTAGTTACCATAAATCACACTTTCAATTTTCAAATGCCTTTTTTAAACACATGCAAAAACACTTGGGAGGGTTTCTTAAAAAATCTGAGCCTGCCCAATTATATGTAAATGGAATGAGGAATCCTACAAGTCCTAAAAGAGAAAGGACACAGGAGACACACACATTCCCCCGTGGCAAACAGCACATCCTCATCTCCCTGCTAGAATACAGACACTGGCCAGGAAGGTAAGAGTTGCTTTCTCAAAATGCTCAAGCTACAAAGAGAGAAATCAAAACAATCCTACCCTGCTGGATCAAGAGCGTGTTCCAGAAATGTTCCATGGGTTGTAGAAGTCAAAGTCCGAGACAGTGAGAAGGGAGGAAGGAATGCGCTCGCATGTTCGAGTGGCTCGGTGTGTGATCCAGGCAGAGCGTGTGTGGATGTGTTTGTGTGTGGAATGGCAGGACTCGGGAAGCAGCCAGTAGGCAGGGCACTTGGCAGCCCCTCCCGGCAGACGCGGCAGCTGGGCTGCTGCTGCAGGGAGCTGGATGAATGGCAGTGGGGAGAGAGGAGCAACTCGCAGTGTGGAGGCTCCAGTCAGCAGGACTGGGGAGTAGGGGAGAAGACACTCTGGCTGCCTGTGCTCTCTACCTGTTGAGCCAGCTGGAAGAGTGCCCCATGCTTTCTGTCCCCATCCTGGGCAGAGGGGGAAGCAGCAGAAATAGAATGCCAGTCGAAATGTTTGGAGAGTAAGTTTACAAAATGCACTGGGTGGTTTTTCCCCAAGAATATAATTTAACAAGAAAAACCTTTTGAGATGCACCAGGATCAAATGTCCTGCTGGCCCCCGGCCCCCCAGACTGAATAGACTCATGATGGCCATGCCTCTGGTGGCACCAGGAAATCAGACTTTGGAACAAATGTTTTGGCATTCCAGGGATGTGTTTCCAGGAGAAACATGACACTCCTCCACCTCCTTAACCAAACCCACAGAGCTTCCCACCCATAGCTCATTGTCTGCTTTCTGTAAACATGTGAACATGTACATTATTTAAATTTTAGTGTATAAAGATAAGACAAAGATGGGTGCCTTAAACTGCTTATGGGGACAGGCCTCTCAAACTTGATGGTGCCTGGGCCTCAACTTCTCTTTTGACCATGGAATAGCACATAGTGATAAGGTGCTCCTCGTGTGTCCCAAGGTCCCAGGACCCAAGATGCCTACTGGAGCCTTTGTTGCCAGACATTAGTCACCGCCTTGAGTATTAAATGACTCTAATCACAAAGCCAGGAGTGTCCTGTCTCTGGCTCTAGCACCTGATGCAGTTACCAAGAGATTTATGGGCGATTTTGAAACCAGTACAAAAAGAAGTAGAAAGTTTGAAACAAACGGTTAATGATGTCATAACGCAAATATATATTTTTGTGCTTGGAAAGACCCAAGATAATGCAATAGTAGAATACATAAGAGCTCCCGCCACAATCAGCAATGATAATATATATTGAATATAAATAAATATTGAGGATTGGGTTATAACTCTGTCATAGAGCATTTGCTTAGCATGTTTGAGGTCCCGCTTTCCAGCCCCAGCACTGCATAAAGAAAGAAAGAAAAAAAAGGTGGAAGGGAGAGAGGGAGCTATGGAGGGAGGGAAGGAGAGAGAGAAGAAGGGTAAATATTACTGTCTTTTGTTGGTGATAGTGGTGAATCCTGGCAACTGTAGCTCCTCCTGTAGGTCAGCAAAGGACACCCATGCACTAAACCAGCCCAAAACAAAACAGAAGTATTCAAGGAAGGATGGGGGAGGGAAGAAAAAGGGAAAAGAAGAAATAAGGAGAGAAAAAGGATTAGGAATCTGATATGCTCACTTTCAACATTGCGAGGAAGAAAAGCCCATCTTCTCGGAGACAGCAATCATGAGAAATTAAAATCCTAAATAAAAAATCTCACCATGCTCTTGCTTGTGGCCTGACATTCCCTCTTGGAATGTTAGAGACTTGCACTCACAGGCTGAGAGGTCCTTAAAAGACAGTTTTCCAGATCCCTTTCTTTCCAACAATTGCTTTTAACCAATTTTGACCAGCCTGTTCCTCCAGCGCTATCACCCGAGTGTCCCTAGAGCCATGTTCCAAGTTACCAACTAGGCCCTGCTGGCTTGTTCCACTCTAGGTCCCCCTTCTCTCTCTCCCCACCGTGGTGTTCCCTACCATTTCCTTTTGCCCTCAGCTCTATTATCTCTCCGGTCACCCAGATTAGAACCTCACCATTCTCTTTGAGGTCTGACTTCCCCCGCCACCCACACTGGTCAAGAAGTTCCCAAGCATCCTGGTTTCACACTCTGTCTCCATTGCATTGCTATTACTGCCTCTCGGGGCCTCATGACCTTACCTGCCCCACCAGCTTCCTAAGGCGCTCTCTGTCTCTTCTCTCCCCTGCATCTCCCCAAATCTTGCTGTCCATTTATTTTCTTGGGTTTTCAGGGCTTCAGGACCTATTGGTCACAACCTATATCCGTTTTTGAACCCAGATCTGGCTTCCTCTGGAATCCAGGCCTCCCTCTGTCCCACTAGCCTTTCTAGCATAATGCTTCCACTGTGGAGCCTCTGCTTTGATCAAACGAAAACTCAGTATTCCAAGAACTCCAAAGCTGTTTTTCTTTCCAGAACCTCCACTTTCCTAGCTTATCAAAGAAAAGTACCTCCTTTTTTATCCGCCCCCCCAATGCTACAACATACTTGATCCATTCCCTTATTCCCTTTTAAAAGAGAATTCCTTTCCTCTGAGCTCCAGTGGTAATTCTCAGGCACTGACACATTCTTCCTTGATGGAGATGTCATTTATTCATGCATCCTGCTCTGCTGCTCCTTAAGGACCAGGTCTAGCTAGACTTACTTAGGGATTTCAGTGCCTACAAGCAGTGCCTGACCATCATTAGACCATGAAATACTAGCTAATTTATTCATCCAGGTAAGTCAAAGAACAAAATAATATCACCCTGTCTGGATACCATTTCCAAAGCCAACTTTCCATAGGATATTCTATCACTTTCAAAAACTATAGCTGCTAGCTTATCCTTGTATCTTCCCAGTAAATAAGGAATATACAATCAAATTTTAAATTGGTACAATCTCGAGGCCTAAGCATGCAGTTCTTGACAGCATGATTCATCAGACAGCTCTCTATTTTCAGTTCTTAACCAGATAATACTGTGACCAAACATTAACCTCTCTATTTCCGCTAACAGCTTTTTACATTTATAAAAACATTATTCCTCCAACAGAAAAAAAATAAAGGTAGAAATACCTCATTATAGCTTGCATCACTAGATATGGTTCTTTCACTCTGAGATGAGGCTTACCTCCATTTGAGCTGACAGCTACACTGATTTTTAATTTTTTTCTACATTTTTATTAGTACATGTTAGCAGCACACAATAACTACACTCACTGCAGGGAATCAGTACATGTGCATAACATGCCTCAGTACTTCTCACCTCTCCTTCCCTTTGTCTCACTCCACCCACCCTCCACCTCTATGTCTCCTTGCCTTTTACAACAAATCCACCACCCTGTTTCCTGCTGCATAGTTTGCATCTTGTTCTTTAAATTATTGGGGGGTGGCACGTATTTTAAGACAGGATCTACAAAGTCCACAGGGTCTCACTACGCACATCAGACTCGTAGTGATCTTCCTGTTTTCAGCCTCCCAAGAGCTGTGATCACAGGTAGGCACCACCACACCTAGTCTCAATTGCCATCTCAAGGTGCCCCAGGTGTGGGGCCATCACAGCAGCCCCGGGGACTGAACTCCCAGCCCCTGCATCTGCCTAAGCAAGCACTTTTTAAAAAAAAATTATTTATATTTTGGGTCTTTTCTCATGTAAGAGAAATTACTCAATGATTAAGCTGTCTGTCTGGTTTATCTCACTGAGCATTGGGTCTCAAGATCCATCCATTTTTCTATGAATGACTCAAACGTGCCCTTCTTGTGGCAGTTTCCTTTTAAATATCTACTCATTGTTTGGTCATTTATGTCTTTTTATTAGCTCTTAGACTTTTTTATCTAACTTTGGAATTTTTTAGGAAAAACTTGCATATAGTAAGCTGCAGGTATCTTAACTCTACAGCCTGATGAACTGGGGTGGGTGGATATGCTGTACTCCGCAGTGCGTGTGCTATGGAGCATTTCCAATGCTGCAGAAACGTCTTCCATGCCCAAGCTAGTCAACACCTCACTTCTCCAGCTGGGCGCCGTTACAGTTTCCATGACCATCAATTTATTTTGCTGTGTATCTCAGAAGATGTCTTATGAAATGAACCATAGATGCCCCATTTTCAACCAGTGCTGCAACCAGCCGGTGCTGGGCTTGTGGCTCCACCTGGCATCAAGGTAAACAGCTATCACCTTCTCGTCACTGTCTTCTCCCGGGGACCCCGCGTGGCCACAGAATTTTTACTAACACTCCATTATTCATGGGCTTTT